TTGAATCTACGATGATGTCTCTCAATAGCCTGCAGAAGATAAATGACTCTGTCCCCTCCAAATGCAGTAACCTAGTGAGCATGCATGTAATTGTGTGCGTCTTAGGTTTCATCGGTTAGGGAATATCCAGTTGAAACACCAAAATATTGTAATTTAAATCATGTAAGCCGCACCTTGTTTGTTTGATGTTTCTTCAGATCATGAATGTTGGAGTTTATATTTTTTTGTCTCTTTTGATGGTCTCGAATCTAGAAGCCAAAAGACCAAAAAAACGAAACAATGTGTTAATTACAATACCAAAGCAATCTGCATATGAAACTGATAAAATTATTATAAATATTCATGTGGAATGTAAGTAGCAAATATAGGTATAGTTGTACCATGTCCTCGATGTGTTCCATCTCTTTCCTTCCAGCTGATGCTTTTTCCAGTAAGGAGTTCTCTTCCTCTTTCAATCTAAAATATCATATATTCGAAGAAGAATGAGACGACTACAGCAGATGGGTAGGAACAAGAAAAAAAGAAATGGAAAACTTAATAATATAACCTGCAAAGTAGTGTTTCAGCCTTCTCAATCTCCTGTTCCAAGTATCTCAGTTTCTCCTCGATTTCAGATTGTTCAGCCTGCATCATTATCAACCTATGAGAAATATACCCTCACAGCACATTACTGTTATGCGAAGACACTGAGCACAGAAGAACACAGTTTGTGGTTTTATATATACAGTCAATGACCAATATAGAGAACCTGAGTGTTTCTCATTGTCTGTTCATTGATATCTCCAAGCTGCCGTTCAAGCCTTCTAACACGATCCTTAATCTTCTGAACACCATTGCGCTTATGATTGAATTCTTCTTCTAGAGCAATCTTTTCTCGAGCCGCCTACATTCAGAATTGACATCATGAAACACACATGACAAGATACGTCAAAAACACAATCAGTAAATTAATTAAACCCAATGCACTCCTTCCAAACTAAATCACGTTGAATATTCTTTTCATGCTGTCCATGTTGAGAATCGATGTATATTTTGAAACGTATTTGGCAAATCCAGTATTTCTATATGCCTAATATACGTTGTTAAATCCGATATTTGCTAAACTGTGAATTCTATGCAAAAAATCCCATCCACTATACTCCTTTTAAAACTAAATATTACAAACCGTCTTGGCTGATTGGTGACAAGTCTCTATCTCTCTCTTCATCGCAGTTGATTCATCCATCAGACATGCAACTTTAGCTTTCTTCTTGGTCAAGCGATCCCTTAATGATTCCACTTTAGCCTACAGGAATTGATCAGTTATAATCAAACAGTTGGAGTTCCAGAACATAAATTAAGTAATATATCCAGCCGTGTGTAGATAGCTCTCTATAAATTTCAGTCTGAGTTCAGCCATATACTCAGTTTAAGTTCTAGAACATGAATTAAGCAATATAATCAGTAAGTTACAAGGTTCACACTCTAAGCAACTCGACAATTTTGGAGGCAAAACAACACTAAAACTTAAGGAAGCTTGATAATATGCCTTTGCCATGGTCCTCGAAGAGTGCATTAGGGTACAAATACATCAAGACTCCACTTAACCAAAGCATCTCTTTTAAACAGGTATAAAATTAAGGCATAGCTAGTAATGCTTCGATTTTTCATAGTCATTCAAATTTCAGATAATGAAAAAGTATGTATGACTTACTAGTTCCCAGTCTATTTTAGCTTGGCAAGTAGGTATGCGCTCTTTAAGCTTCACAATCTTATCGGTTTGTTCCTGGAGCTGCCTATCCACATCATACACCCATGACCAAGCAAGTTTCTTTTTCAACTGCTGTAACTTTTGAGCTATTTCTTCAACTTGTTCCATATTCTTTATCTTTCCACGCAACTCATTGATTTCTTTCTCTATTGGTTTAATTGTTTCCTCCATTTCATCGACTATGGCAGTTGCAGAATTCAAGTGCTCGTAGATACTTTGGAGAAGATCATTAACTTGCTGGAGAAGGGTTGCTTTAAAAAAGAACTAAAGAAGAGAAGCTTTTAGCCAAAAAAAATTCAATATGATTGACTTTTATTTATACCAATATACAGCAGATACCTTAAATTTATCTTTGTCATTTCCAGAATGCAAGAACTCCCTGCTCTTGTCTTGACTCATTACCACGCATGGATTATCAACATCAATCTACACATGTACATAAGACAGATCAAACAATGAATATGGCTAATATATTGAGAATCTTTAAGGGGGTATACAAGACCAGAAACAACAAGTATCTCTGATATTATTTAAATACTTATCAATTAGAATGAAAGACAAAAACTCACATTATAATGTTCAACAAGTTCCCGTAGCTCCTCCTTTCGGCTACTTACTTTTTTTCCTGCAGCACATAATTTCCATAATATAAGAACAGAAAAACCTTTTGAACAAATAATTTTACATACACATAAAAAAAGAGTAAGAAGGTAAGAAGGTAGATGATCATCAGAACAAGCACCAAACGGACTATGAGGTAAACTGCAAGGTAGCCACAAAGAGAGAGAAAAGGGCTAAGATGAATAAACCTTCATGATCCTTGAGAATGGTAGAACTAGTAGACTCGGTTATCCTACGTTCAATAATAATAACATCACCATAAATATCAGGCTTAAAAGCATCCTCTCCTTGGTTCTTCATTTCAACATGAACAACAGCATAGCTGCAACGAATTCCCATTAAAAATTTTCAGTCTCTCTTACCATTAAGAAGCACAAAAAAAAACAGTGGTAAATGCACAAAACCTGCATCCAGTTTTAATGAAATCCTTCAAAGTGGAAGCTCGCTGAGTCCCTTTCGCTCTACACCCAAACGCCACACACAGAGCAGTCAATATTGCACTCTTCCCACCTTTGCCAACACAAACAAAATTAGCTTTCAATCTTTCTTGTTTCAAAAAAAAAATAACTCTTTCAATCTTTCTAGAAACATTAAAAAAAACCTTAAACATAACACACACTATCAAATTTTCAAAATTGAGCGAAACCCAGCTTAAACAAGGCATACATATTAAAATCCAATCGACTAGAGAGCTAAATAACAAAATTATTTACACAGTGAACAAAAGTAAAAAGACCAAATTTTCAAAATTGGGCGAAAAACCAACTCTTAATAAGGCATAAATATTTAAATTCAATCGATAAGAGAGCAAAAGAACAAATTGTTTACACACTGAACAAAACTAAAAACACCAAATTTTCAAAATTGAGCGAAACCCAGCTCTCAATAAGACATGCCCATGTAAATTCAATCGATTAGAGTAGCTAAAGAACTAAATTGTTCACACAATGAACAAAAGTAAAAACACCAAAATTTTCAAAATTGAGAGAAACCCAGCTCTCAATAAGACATGCCCATGTAAATTCAATCGATTAGAGAGCTAAAGAACAAAATTGTTCACACAATGAACAAAAGTAAAAACACTAAATTTTCAAAATTGAGCGAAACCCAGCTCTCAATAAGACATGCCCATGTAAATTCAATCGATTAGAGTAGCTAAAGAACTAAATTGTTCGCACAATGAACAAAACTAAAAACACCAAAATTTTCAAAATTGAGCGAAACCCAGCTCTCAATAAGACATGGGTACGTAAATTCAACCGATTAGAGGAGATAAAGATGGAAACTTTACTTCCGTTTTGGCCGGTGATGAAATTGACCCACTCGCCGAACTCAATCTGGAGATTACTATGGCACATGAAATTCTCGACCTTGATCCTAAGGATCGTACCCGACCCGGAACGCTGTTTGATGAAGGAAGAAGCGCTGGTTCGAGTCCCGGATTTCGCCATGGCTCTTAGGGTTTTTCTCACTCCCGGCTGAGAGACGAATTAGAAAAATAGAGAGAGAAGGCGATTCGTCGGGGTAGCTTTAGGGCGGGAAAGAGACTATGCTATTGTAAGTCGCGTGTATGGTAACGATGCCTGTTTCCACCGTCCGATCTATGGGCCTTACGTTCTTACAAAAAACAAAATGGGCCTTACAGTTAACATAATATGGGCCCAGTAGCCATATTTGCATATTTCTTTCTTTTAAATGGAAAACGCTTCTAAGTTTATGGTTTAGGTTTTAAAACATAGCAGATAGGGGTGGGCGTTCGGGTTCCCGTTCGGATACGGATCGGGTATTCCGGATTTTTGGGTATTTTTGTATTGGGGTTTAGAATCCGTTTGGGTATTTTTACATATCGGGTTGGGTTCGGATATTTTTAGTTCGGGTTCGGTTTTCGGGTCGGGTTCGGATATTTAGATTTTGAAAGAAAATTTTCAAATTCTTTATTACTTAAGTTTCATGTATTTAAAATGTAACTATTAACTTAATTTTTTTTAAAATGTTTAATAAGTTAGACGATTAATAAGTTTGAAAATAAATTATTGAAAATAAAAATCATTATTTTGGTTGTTATTTTCGAATTTTGGATGTAAATTTTGTTTAAAATATGAAATAAGAAGCTTAATATGCATTTTAAATGAGTAACAAATCATTTTTTTTTTACAATTATATGTATATTATCTGATATTAAACCATATATCATTAATATGAATAGTTATAGTAAAATGAGACAAAATAAACTAGGAATTAATAGGTATATACACATACGTTCGGTTATCTTTGGATACCCGTTCGGATTTGGGTATTACCCGTTCGGGTTCGGATATCCAAACTTTTCTAACTCAATATTCGTCCGGGTATTTTGCTACTTCGGTTCGGATTTCGGTTCAGATATTTCGGGTCGGGTTCGGGTACGAGTTCAGGTATCGGATAAAGTGTCCACCCCTAGCAGAGCATTGTCATTCTTTTGACCAAAAAAAAAAGCATAGTATTTTTTTTTTGGGGGGGGGGGGACAAAAGCATAGCATTATTATTCATAGCTCAAAACTAACACACAGGACACAACATGAGGTATAAGAGATGATCATAATACAAGAATTCATGAGAATCAAAAACACGTATGGTGTATATACGAAATTTATGTAAACAAAGATGTGAACATGGCTTTGAAATTGTCATTGGCATGACCAAATCCATCACCCTCCTTGTAGAACAAATTGATCATACGTGCAGTATTGAAGACTCGCACTATAACCTGGCGTGGCACAGTGGAAGAGGCTTTAAAGAACTCATCCATCATGACCTCTTGATAATCCTTAATCATCTTCTTCAATTCTCTAACCGCTTCTTCTTGACTAACACCGTGTTGTTTCATGTAACAGTTAACTCCATTTGCCACTTCCCCTCTCTTTAGCTCTTCCTCAAACGTGGCTATATCGTTTATCAAACGAAGCACAACGTTAAAAGCTTGGATGAATTTGGGTTTGGAGGCGCGACCCACTCATACATTATCTTCTCATCATCTTCTTCCATCCCTAGAAAGCTGTAGACTGCTAGGTCATCCATCCCAGCTGTGACAACCCCAACCTCCATGTACTCCTCAAAGCTTGGCACCTGACCTGTGCGTGCCCATTTAGCTATCTCTAAATACCCTTCCTTGGTCAGGCTCTTTATCTATATGTTTTTCAATGTAAATTAAACGCACAACATTAATTACTTTTTATACACTCGATATTGTTTTCCCTATAATAATTACTCCCTCCGTTTCAAAAAGATGAACATATTAGAAATAATATTTGTTTCAAAAAGATGTATTTTTTTTTACATTTTCAATGTACAATTTAGTGAAAAATTGTAGATTCCAAAAAAAAAATTGTGTTTCTAAAAATTCTATTGGTTAAAAATATATAGGGATTTGTTATCTATAATAAATGATGCATTGGTAATCAAAATTTTATGTTTTTTTTAATATGTGTGAAAAAACTAAAACAAAGGATGGAATAACACTTACGTACCTCATCAATAGTTGGTTGCACACCTCCAGATCTTCCTAACGAACTCATCTCTCGTTCGATATCTCCAATAATTTCCCACAAATTTTGGAAGATGATTTGCATATAGCTTGGTAGACCTTCAATGTCTTCAATATCCCACCTACCAGATAAGTTTACATAAGACTAGAGGTCTAGAGTTCAGGTTAAAAAGTCTCGTACCTTTGCAAAGCATCAGTGAAACTTGTAACTTCAGGAAGAGTACCATATGCATCATATGTATCATCAACAACCGTCATGATCATGGAAATTTTAGTGCATATAACTCTCGCAAGAGAATATCGTGGCTCGAAATATATACCCATCACGCCGAAACAGAACTCAGCAATTCTGTCCCGGAAGGTATACGGCAGTTTAGATGCAAGATCTATCTCCTTCCACCATCTGCAATAAGCAGAAATCAAATATAAAATTATTAAATTTGGGTGTATCATAGGCTTATATATACATATAAATATGAGGTTTTTATGATTAACAACTCAAACCTAATTGATAATAAACTGAACTAGTATCAATTTAGGTCTCATCACACTTTTAATGTGAGGTTCTTAATAATATAAATATATGATTTGTTAAATAGCTAAAGGAGATTACTTGTTGAGAGCTTTGAGCTCTTTGATGTAATGCATCTGGCAATAGCTGAAGTTGAGTTTCGCAAACTTGAGCAACTTCTCATCGTGATCTTCTTCTTCTTTGTAAAAAGAGATGTATTCTCTTGCAACTACTATCTCTATGCAACGATATCTAGGTATGTATAATACGTGCTGTATGAGCCTTGAGAGATGTGGATGAGTAGTAGCCACTGCTAAGTGAGTCCTAGTGAAACTTCGTGCTTCCTCCATTATATCCTCATCTTTTGTTTTGAGATATGATGCTTGGTACAACTGTAGCATCCCTCTAACATCTCCAACTACACTTTCATTGAACTTCCAATCATGTTCCCCTTTGAATCTCTCAAACACATCTATAATAAAATCCATATATATATATATATATATTATTCACTTAATAAGAATATTCATGTATGTGAATAAAGTAAACTGATATAATCATGTTAAGTTGTTACCACAAGGCATCTTGTGTCCATACAATCTGAAAACTTCAAACATGATAGAGATTGTTTCCAAATCATCTTCATTGTCGGTTAAGATTTGCAGCTCCCCAAAAGCCTTGTTTAGAATCTCTTCAATTTCATTTTCGAAATAATGGGAGATCGCTAGACTGATAAGCAAGTGAATGAGACGAATCTTCTCCTTATTACAGGTGGGAGAAGACATGAGCACATCTCTGACATACGGCTTCATAAATGATTCAATCTCATGCTCAATTGCATCGAATTCCTATTAAAATATTGACGTAAGAAACTAATGTTAGATGTAGTTACAATATGACATTATGGCCTCTTAGAATATATATTGCTTTATCTTTAAAAAAAAAAAGAATGAGCCAATGGGATATCTTAACTATCTTTCCTACCTACAACTAACAATACATAGTCCTGAACATATGTTTGAAGACACATTGTGCAGTCTATGTACTTACAGAATCGTCGACCGGGACAGAGAAGTGGTGATCTCCTAGAAAAGTGGGGGTAAACTGAGCCAAGGGACGAGTACTCTCAAGATTGTTACTAGTAGCCATTACATAGAACGAAGCTTGTTTTGTGAGTTTTCGAGAGAGAGTTTGGTTTTGCGGAAAATGGTGAGGTATAAGAGAAAGCTTGGTCTTACGACAGAGAGTGATTTTGTGAGTGTGAGGGAGAATTTTAGGACCAAAACTCATCGACATAGTTGAAGTTTGCATTTTTAAACGCATTGAATAAAAGATAGACACGAGAGAGTCTCTACTTTGCTTTATGTTTTGATGATGGATTGGATGGTTCACTTTGCTTTCATCTCTCTAGCTTGCTTTAAATAGATACATGAATGATCTAGTACGGAGACTGGAGAGCTTAAACTGTATGTGAAAACTAAAATACTATGCCTAGTGGAAGGTTATAAAAAATCTTCTTAATTTTTTCATTTATAATGAAATTAAATTTTAATTTAATCCTATTTTATTTTCGAGTTAAAGATAAAGTATTACGTAAAAAAAAATATATTACACCATTTTCTAGAGTCATTTTCTTATTTCATTATAAAAAAAGTGGGATTCAAGAATATTAAACTCTAAAATTTATTTTTATGTAGAAAATAGAACGGAATATGAAATGTTATTAGAAGAGAAACACCATATATAGTATATTAGAGAAACTATTTTCTTATACATACCCTGAAAAAAGAAGAGGCTTAATTTGGAATATATAAATTAAGCAAAAAATTAAAAATAGTGTATATAATAGAAATATAATTGTCATAAGTGTATTGTTTTATTTTCCAGTTTTGTTAGACAACATATACACTTGTGACTTGGGCTAGATCTATACCATCCAACGAGAGTATTTGTATTTAAAATACGAATGTCAGATAGTCTTTCTTAACATTTTTGACAAGCAGCTTGCTATAGAAAACTATATTCCGACATGTCCTTGTTCCCTGTTAGATCAGAGATTCAGAATCGTCCATACTTTCTATAGAATAATTAAACCTGAAAGATACTTAAGGTATTACTGTGCTAAGAGGCTGCAAAATTTAATGAAAGAATACAAATATTTCATAGAAATTATGGATTATTCCCAAATGACGGGAATAATGTGCTAGAATAAAGATTAATCTTCAAAATTTAGTGTGCCTCTACAATAAGAGACAATAACCATCCAACATGACTATAAATTTGAATCATAGTGGAATAACTCACTCTCCCTTAACTTGCATGTAGGGCAAGTAAAATATCCGTAAATTTTGATTCGATTCGTTATCCGTTTCGATTCGAACCGAAAAATCCGGATATCCGTAACTCTACGAAGCAAAGTAAATACTAAAATGTGATATCCGTAAGAGACGAATCAAATAACAAATACTAATATTTTTAGGAACGAATATCCGATCTGATCTATTATATACATATATATATACATATATTTAATGAAGTATATATAGAAGTTATATAAATATTATATTTTATTTATGTTTTACAAGATTTTTATTTATTAAATTTATTATATTAGTTATTCGAATTTTTAAAATTAATTAAATTTTATTTTTGTAATAAAATATTTTTATTTTATATAATTTTGGATTTATCTTTATTTTAAAAAGTTTTATTTTATTTTTACGGATCGAATCGGATATCCGGTAAAATTCTAAAATTTTCTAGATATCCGGGATGGCGAATATCCGAAGGACTACGGATCGAATCGAATCAGATAATTGATTATTCGAACGAAACGAATCGGATCGCAAATATCTTTGAATAGTCGGATATTTGCTTCGTACCCACCCCTACTTGCATGGTATGTCTTTGTAATTAGTAATTACTAATTACTAGTATTGCAATTTCTCATACGTTACAAGGGTTAGACCCGGGAAAATAGCAGATGAACATTAACTGGGGACAGTGTGTCAACTCTAGTAATATTATCCATCAATATGACCTTATGTCAACTCTACTAATATTATCATACTAGGTGTTTTGCCCGCACTTGCGGGCTTAATAATTTTACTAATATCTATAAATAAATATATAATCAAGTTATGTAAATTATAATAAATTATTGTTCATAGACTTAAAATATTTAATATAAACTAAACAAATTCTTTTTATTTATAAAATTTTCATCATCATATAAATAATTTTCATTACACAACTTATATTTGAAAATACTCATAAACTTGAAACATTTAGTAATAAATTAATATCGTTTTTATACATAACAAAAAAATATAAAAAATTATGTTTAATAATGTTTTGGATAACACTATATAAATTATCTATACATAAATTCTTTGCAAATTGATTTTTCATAATTAACTATATATTAACAAATAGAATTATTTTTTCAACGTTAATAAAGACTTTATAACACAATATAAAAAAGTTAGATAAATATAATTATCAAATTTATGAGATTCATTTTTTAATTTAGAATTAATTATATTTTAACAAATATAATTATTTTTCAAGGTTGATAAAGACTTTATCACATAATATAAAAAAAATAAAATAAGGATAATTATCAAATAAATGAAATTCGATTTAAATTTATAATTAATTATATATTAACTAATATAATTATTTTCAAGTATATTAACTAATATAATTATTTTCAAGGTTAATAAAAGTTTTATAACCCAATATAAAATAGTTTTAGATAATGATAAATCTAAAATCGTTGAAATTCATTTTTTATTTATGTTTAATTATATAAAAAAATTTAATTATTCATTAAGGATATAAACGATATTAACCGTTCTAACTTTCAACTTGAGAGTTTTCTTGCGAAAAATCATTCACAAATAATAGTATAGATTACCTAAATCACAGAAAGTTACAAATTAATCAGCAAACTCACTTAAATTCTATAATTAAAATATATTTTTGAGATAACAATCTAATACAAAAGAATTAACATATTTTCTAAAACTATAATATTTTTAACATAAATTATTTTTATTTTATTTATAATAAATTATTAAAATATGAAAATAAACAAAATAACCTAAAATCATGGAAAAGTTGACAACTAAGCAAATTTTTACTTCTAAAATAATAATTGAATAATATATTTTTTAAGATAACAATCTAATACAAAAGAATTAACATATTTTCTAAAAATATAATATTATTAACATAAATTCGTTTTTATTATATAATAAATTATTAAAACATGAAAATAAGTAAAATAACCTAAAATCATGGAGAAGTTGACAACTAAGCAAATTTACTTCTCAAATAATGTTATAGATTTAATTATTCATTAAGGGTATAAACGATATTAACCGTTCTAACTTTCAACATGAGAGTTTTCTTGCGAAAAACCATTCACAAATAATAGTATAGATTACCTAAATCACAGAAAGTTACAAATTAATCAGCAAACTCACTTAAATTTTATAATTAAAAATATATTTTTGAGATAACAATCTAATACAAAAGAATTAACATATTTTCTAAAACTATAATATTTTTAACATAAATTCTTTTTATTTTATTTTATAATAAATTATTAAAATATGAAAATAAGCAAAATAACCTAAAATCATGGAAAAATTGACAACTAAGCAAATTTTTACTTCTAAAATAATAATTGAATAATATATTTTTAAGATAACAATCTAATACAAAAGAATTAACATATTTTCTAAAAATATAATATTATTAACATAAATTCGTTTTTATTATATAATAAATTATTAAAACATGAAAATAAGTAAAATAACCTAAAATCATGGAGAAGTTGACAACTAAGCAAATTTACTTCTCAAATAATGTTATAGATCGACATTCATTTGCTTATTATATTCATGGTACTATGATTCAAATCACAATATAAAATTAAAACACAACCGATACATCGAGATGTTAAACCATAAATGATCGTGTTCATCTTTACCAAATGTAGAAAAAGTACTCTGCTCTATAATTTGATTGTATGTTTAACTATTTTTTTTTCCATTAGGCATTTTTTTTTTGAACACCAATTAGGCATTTTTTTTCATTAAGAACAAGTCCAATGATAATATCCATTAGATATCTTAATATTTAAAAAAAAAATATGAGAGAAAGAGAAAAAAAAGACGAGAAAGTGTCTATGCAGACATATTGGGGGTGATTGGTTGGGTTGTAAGTGCTGACTTTAGCTTTAATTTTTACCTACATCACTTAAATCACTAATAATGTTTTATCTTATTTTTTAAAGCTACAACCAAAAACTAAAAAAATGGCTGTAAAATCATTATTTTCTAAAGTGACATCTTTTTGCTGTAGAAAATATGTTGTTTTAACAATAAATTTTAAAATTACATCTCTCACAGTTAAATAAAAAAATTCTACAGACTAATTTCTACAGTAAAACTTTTACAACTACAGTTCAACCAATCATCCCCATTGTCAGATCCTCTCTTTTACATATGGCACATAATAACTAGTTTGCAATTTTATAAATCTTTTTGATTTAACTTAAATAAGTAAAAATATTATTTACTTTATTTAGAAGCTGCAGTGAAATACTCACCAACGAAGCTGCTCTAACAGAAAAAAATAGTTAGATGAACCCTTCCCCATCAAGTTATGATTTCAACGCCAATACTATATTCAAGTCGGTAGTACTAATTACTAATCATGGACATTTCTATAACAGTCGAATATTTAACAATGACCTCTGGCTCTCGTAGATAGCATGGGCTCGACATGTTCAACTCAAATGGGTTTTATGTTTTGTTTTGTAGCCCAAACATAGTTAACTAAGGAGACTTATGTAAATTTTTCTATACTTAGTGGCTTTTTCCGTTTTTTCGTCATACCATATTACCATTTGTACTAGTCAAATATTTACCAGTCAACCTAAACTTTATGTTGTCAAGAATAAGTGTTTCAAAGAAGAAAAAAAAATGTTGTCAAGAATAAAAACCAAAACTTTATAGTATTTGCATAGAATTAATTAGTCAGTATGATAATTGTTTGAGCCTATATTTCATTGAACACTTATGTTAAGTGAATAACTCCTATTGAATAGAACTCTAAACGTACTTGTGTCTTCCTGAATTTTTCAGCTATATATATATACCTCTTAATGACACAAAGTCACATACCAACATATTCAAATAAACACTTCTCGCAGAAAAAAAACATTAAAAAATCTCTAGCTTATTTTCTCCTTGTTTCTTTTCATCGTCATGATGTATTCACTTCTCAATGAAACAAGAAACTGTCAAGTGTGCATGAAATCATTTCCAAATGGGAGAGCTTTAGGATGTCACATGAGGTCTCACACTCGGGAAGTTTCGGCATCAAATGGCTCGACCGTTCCATCGCTGAAGACACCCACCAAACTCGTAGCAAACATCAGACCCAATGAAACAGTTTTGATGAGATCTGTCCACACAAGTGAAGTTGGTGTGGAACCAAAGAGAGAAGAAGGTGGACAACAAATAAAAGGCAAGAGAAAGATCGTCGTGGATTTAGATGAGTGTCAAAGTTCTTTAACAGCTGCTGAAGAAGCTGCTCTTTGTCTTGTAGCAATGTCTAAGGGACAGATACCAAAAAACTCTCAGAATTGGAATGCTATTGACCGTTTGTTATCAACTCCAAATGATAGAGAAGAATATACTCGAATGGTTATCGATATAGATTCTGATGATGATGACAAAGAAGACAAGTTTGTCGAAGATGATGAGGATGAAACATATTTAATTGCGAAGGAGAAACAATGTAAGAAAAAATTTACGTGTGATATATGTGGAAAAGTGTTGAATTCGTATCAGGCATTAGGTGGTCATCGAACGAGTCACAGAACCAAACGATTGAAGAATTGCGACAAGAATGGTCAAGCAGTGGTTCGAGATTACAAGTGTTAACTATGTGGCAGAGTGTTTGAATCCGGTCAAGCACTTGGTGGCCACAAGAAGGTTCATTATATGTTTCTATAACCAAGTAACTATGTAAGGTTGTAGTAGACCTCAGCCGGGTAGCATAGAATTGAAGGGTGGAATTTGGGTGATTAGTAGATTTGGATGAAAGATAATCAAATGTGTTCTCTATTTTTATGTTGTTGTCTCTTTTAGTTTGTTTTCCTAAATTTAACAAAACTCTGGTTAAGTTTATGTTTTGTTTTTCTATTTTCTCAGTTGTTGTAGCCTTTTAATTTATTTAATTATATATTAACAAAAGTTTGGTTCAAAGTTAGAACAACAACATCGGTGATCTTAATGTGATCCTTAAGGGGAGGGAATCCACAAAAACAGCAAAACCAAGGCGATTCGTCGTTAAATAAAAGTTGTTTTAGTTTGATCCTTGTGTTTTTTATGGGCCCTACTAACACATAGCGACCTGTTATTGGTTCGTTTTTAACTTCTTCTTTTTTAATGAGGCAAAAAAAAATTAGGGACATTTTTGGGTCTTGCCAATAATGATGATCTTATGTTTTTTTCCTTCATATTCAGAATGTGTGAGTGTGTTTTTTTAAATGTTAAAACTGCAAGATTTCCGAAAATCAAATTAAAGTCTTAGATGTTGTGATGATATGGTGTAAAGAAATCGACCTGATTAGAGACTATTGATATTTTATAATAAGGTTACTTAAAAGACAAAATCAAAATCATAGTAAAAAATATGTTCGACTTTGTAAAAGAGAGAATTTTTTTTGTTTTGGTCGAAATATAAAAGAGAGAAATATTCGTGTTAGATTACAAAATAAATAAACATTATGTTTTGGTTTGACTAACTGAAGTCAAAGATATTATTCAAATATGTCCATTGACTCAGAAATAGAAATACTACTATGTATGGAAACAGTGTAATCGAAATAAATAGTGGTACGACTAAGAATATGAATAGAATGTTAGATGGAATTAACATTAAATGGAGTCATAATTTGGTTGCCTTTTTTACTAAATCATTATTTGATTGTTTCTTTGCATTTATGTTAACATGTTAAAATAGTGTATTACATTCAAACGAAAACGTACATATGTTTTTTGGTTTTAATTCCTTGGATATGATTTACAAATGATAGTGTGAAACAAAAACAATAGTTATCAGCTATCACTTACAAATGATAAATATTTGATTAACATGTAAATGCTATGCCCTTTTTCAACAACAAAAAAAAAAACATGTAAATGCTAAGGTGGTCGCGTGGAAACAGCTTGAGATTAATAATTCTCAATAATCATCTTTTTTGTCAGTTTCATATTCCCTCTTATTATTATCCTCCGCCAATGCAAGTCAGTTTGCTCCAAAGTAAAAAAACTAATGTATTTTTTGTCTCATTATTTTGCTAGTAATGTTGCCTCTGGAGTGTTGTCCAGACTTTATTTTCGTAGGATTTGTTAAAATGAAATTTTATTTGTGTAATCAAATTTGGTTTGAGTTAAGGAATATACTGTATAACTTTTTGTATCAAATGAAGAAATAGAAAGTCTGTCGTGATAATTAGCAGGATCACAGGTTAAGTAGTCTTTCAAATCTTTTGGAGTCGCATGCAAATCGATTGATATTACTCAAAACTAACCAAAAATCAAAACATCATTCTTATAACAAAACACAAAAGCAAAGGTACACTCATATATATATATATATACTCTTAACACCCTTCAAAAAAACAATTCTACCATTACATGAAAACACCAAAATACAAAGAGATATCAACAATCACACACCAATCTTTTTAACATCTTCCAAACTAACATCACTAACATTACCAAGAACAACCACATTATCTCCCATCGTCTTCCTCTTCGGCTTCGCCTCTTGAAGAATCAACAACACATCTCTCATCGGCGGCCTATCCGTAGGATTTCGACTTGTACACAACAACGCAATCCTCAGCATCTGCTTCATCTCTTCCCTGATAATACTACAAGACCTACCCCTGCTCTTGTCCAACACTTCTTCAACATCCTCCTTTGTCTTCACCTTTGATCTAACCCAATCCACAATACTATTCCCTTCTCCAAACTCCGGTTCGACCGATCTTTTCCCGGTTATTATTTCTAATAGTATCACTCCAAAACTGTAGATATCACTCTTTTTATCCACTTGTAACGTGTATGCATACTCTATAACCAAAAACAAAACAAAACATAGTCAGATGTTGTCGTCATCATACTCTATAACAAACAAAATAGAGTCAGATCAGATGCTGTCGTCATCACGACAAGAAGAATGTTTTTAAAACTGACAAATAAAAAAAAGACAAAAGACAAACCTGGTGCAATATAACCGTACGAACCAGCAACAACGGACATAGACTCATCTGTCTGAATCAACTTCGCAACACCAAAGTCCGCCACACGGGCCTCAAAATCACCGTCAAGTAATATATTACTCGGCTTCAAATCACGGTGAACAATCACCGGATCACAATCATGATGTAGATAACATATCCCCTGAGCAACACCAATCACAATCCGATACAACGCCGTCCACTCCGCGGCGGCGTTCATCGTCTTATCACCACCGTGGAGTAGATCATCCAAGCTTCCATTAGGCATGTACTCATACAAAAGCATCGTACATTCACGGTTCGAGCAGCATCCCAGCAGTCTCACGATGTTCCTGTGACGCACGTGCCCCAACACGTCAACCTCCGCGAGGACGCCGCTCTTACGACGTCGTATCTTCCCGTTTTCTTTGTTTTTTCCCCAAAGCTTCTTTACAGCTATGGTCTCTCCATTAGGCATCTCGGCCTTGTAGACCGTCCCCGTGGACCCCATCCCGAGGATGTTGTCCGTCTTCGAGAGACACTCCACGACGTCTTCCGCCGTGAAGTTCAGCCTCTGAAACGCCGTTAACTTCCACGGTCCCGTCTCTCCTCCGTTACCGTCTACTCTGTTTTTTCCGTAGCTTTTCTTGAAGCAGCGAGTCGCGGCGACGAGGAGGAAGAACGCGACGCCGATGGCCGCCGCCATGATCCAAACGACGGCTCCGGCGGTTTTCTTCTTCCCGTAAATCTCCGGCGGCGTCTCGGAGCCGCAAGGCTTCCTTATCACGTCACCGCAGAGTCCTTCGTTGGAGGAGAAGAAGGAAGGATTCAAATGCGTGAACGAACCGGAAGGAACCGGACCGGTTAACTGATTAAAAGAAACGTTGAAAGTCGTTATGGTCTTGGAGGTGCCAAAGTCTGAGGGGATGGTTCCTGTTAAGAGGTTATGAGAGAGATCCACGTCAGCAATGGAAGGAAGAGTTGAGATCTCCCAAGGGATGATTCCGGTTAAGTAGTTACGGCTTAGATTCAAGGAGAGAAGCTTCTCGCAGTGTCCTATGTCCCAAGGGATGGTCCCGTTGAGCGAGTTTCCTTGGAGTTCGATCCTATAGAAGCTCTTGCAACCAACGTAGTTAGGTACTTCGCCGACGAGGTGACTGAAACTGGCTGATAAGATTTGTAAGCTACGCGCTTTCCAGATATTATCTGGTAAGCGCGTGTTGAAATAGTTGGAGGATATGTTTAAGTACTGAAGAACAGGAGCTTCGGCGAAATCCGCGGGGATTTTGTCGGTGAATAGATTGTTGCTCAAGTCGACAAACGTGAGGTTTGGTAAAGAGCCGAATCCCAACGGTATTGTTCCGTTTAGGAGATTGTTCTGACTCCTGAACCTCCAGAGAGAGGTGCAGGTTGTTAAACTCTTTGGTAACTGGCCTTGAAGTTTGTTGGAGAAGAGGATGAGTTTGTATAGTTTGTTTCCGTTGCATAGAGAGTGAGGGATTGTTCCCGTGAATGAGTTGTTGGAGACGTCTAGCGTCTCTAGCTTCCCGTTTGTTCCGAGCCTCTGTGGTAACACTCCGGTGAAGTTGTTGTTCCAGAGAGATAATGTGGTTAGCTCCGGGAGCTCACCGAGTCCTTCGGGTACTTCACCAAAGAGATTGTTGCTGATTAGGCTAAACCATGTGAGGTTCTTTAAATTCGAGAAGCCTGGAGGGATGGTTCCGGAGAGTTGGTTGCTTGATAAATCTAGAGACTTTAGAGATTTTAAATTGCTGTAACTCTCTGGGATGACGCCGGTGAAGCCGTTGAAGAAGAGGAAGAGAGTCTCGAGGTTTGTGAGGTTTCCGAGTTCTTGAGGTAGAGAGCCAGAGAGTGTGCAGTTGGAAACGTCAAGGTACTTGAGATTGGTGAGTGATGAAAATTCTGAAGGTATGTTTCCTGTGAACTGATTATAACCGATCTCTATGTGTTGGAGGTTGGATAAGAGTCCTAATCTCGGAGGTAACGCGCCTCCGAGAAGGTTTCCAGCTAAGTGGATAGACTTCAATCTCTGTAAGGCACCGTAAGCTGAAGGTATCTCTCCTTCGAAGTAACTCCCACCGAGGTTAAGCTCTTCCAAGAAGCGTAGACGAGACACTTCCAATGGTAACAAGCCTTCGAAGTTGTTGCTGAAGGCGTTGAAGACTCTTAAGAACTTGAGCTTTGAGATTCCAGGAGGGAAGGTGGATTCAAAGGAGTTATGGCTGATGTCAAGAGTGGTGAGTTTTGTGAGGTCAAAGAGAGAAGTTGGGAAGGGACCCTCCAAGGAGTTTTTACTGAGGTTTAAGTAGAGTAAGCTTGATGACAAGTAACGAATCTGTTGAGGAATATGGCCTGTGAGGTTACGTTGAGAGAGGTCAAGAGAAATGACTTGAGAAGTTGCATTGTCACAGACTACACCTGACCAAGAACACCAAGCGGCGCCGGTTTGAGGGTCAGTGACTTTCCAGTCTTGGAAGGCAGAGGGAGAGGCGGAGAGTGATGTTTTGAGGGAAATGAGAGAGGAGAGTTGAGGTGAAAGCTTGAGAGATAAGGAAGAGAAAGGAAGAAGAAAGAAAAAGAGATGAACAAGAGAAAGAGAAGTGTTCTTCTTGTTCATGGCTTTTTTAGGAAGAAGAAAGTGAAAAGATTGTTTGATGAATTGAGGTGGAGTTGAGAAAGGGTTTAGGGTTAACAATGGTGGATATAAGGGTTTGAAGAAGATGAAGAAGGAGAAGAGAAGAAGTCATGATGAAGATGATGATTGTGGAGTGCGTCTAATGGTCTGGCTTTTGTTGGTTAAGGCATTATGGTTTGTGTGGGGAAGAAAAGAAAAGATGAACTCAATCCATTTTCCACTCTTCTTTTACTTTTCTTACCTTTTTCAAAATTACTTGAGTATTTTAATACACTTGTTAGTAAAGAGCATTCTGTTATATCGTATATAAATCATTAATATTTTTATAATCCATTTTTTTGCTATTGTTGAACAAATAAAATTCCTATGAAATTACTAACTAGATATTGTCTTTCTTTCTTTTCTTTTTTTTTTTATCAACACTAGACATTGTCTTTCTATAATAAGACAATTATCCGTTAAATTTTCAATAATAAGGGCATCTCCAACCAACTCCAATTTTTACTCCAAAATGGAGTAAAAGAGAATATGGAGTAAAAAACACTCCAACCCAACTCTATTTTCCACTCCATAATAGAGTTTACTCCATAAATGGAGTAATCTATTTTTTGTTTGTTCATTACTCCATTATGGAGTGGGATATGAAGTAGGGATGGAACATTTCTACTCCATATCCACTTTTACTCCATTTTGGAGGAAAAAATGGAGTATTACATTGGAGATGCTCTAAGCATGCATTATACAGGTCTCCTCCCATCATACAAATTACAATATTGGAAATTGGGTGGAGATCTTTGAAAATCAGAAACCAAATCAACATGTCACTCACTCTTATTAAAACCACATTATTTTGATTTAAGATTTGTCTGCATCTTATATTCTCTTCTTTAAAATTATTTTTCCACTTTGGTTTCCTTTTTGAAACCATTTGCAGACATATTGAATGTTTATTGGAATGTATAAGACATGCATACATACACAAGAAATGTATATATGCAAGTGAAAGTGGGTTGTTTGTATCTCAGTCACTCACAGGATCCGATAAAGCTAAATTCCTCTGTTACTCCACTAACTCTAGCTCAAAGCCCACTTTGTATATTTATTAAATGCGAAATTCTTTTATTATGAAAAATACATATATACAAATATAACCATGATTTATTCGAATACCAATTCTGGCGCCCAAAAAGATTCAATGTTCTTCAACCAATCCATCACACCATTCAGTTCATACGTATAGTCTACAGATTATATATACGCGTGCATCTCCTTGGTACTTTTAATAAATAGTAACAAATAATCCAGAGTCCACACTTGCTTTTCAATTAGTTGACAGAATCATCTTATCATTATCATTGAAATCGTAGTGAAAAATGTAAACATTAATTGTTCTTTCGGTTTTCATAATGACCCCTTTAATAGCCTATTAGAGCACTGTAAATTAGTTTTTTTTTTATCTTAACAAAATTCTCTTGCATCTTTTTACGAGTTTGTTAATTGTAAATTGATTCAACAACATGATGAAATGCTTTTATATTCACTACTTGTAACTTTATAATGTAATTCTTAAAATACTTCAGTCACATGGTAGAAGAGGACCATGTGACTGAAGTATTTTAAGAATTACATTATAAAGTTACAAGTAGTGAATATAAAAGCATTTCATCATGTTGTTGAATCAATTTACAATTAACAAACTCGTAAAAAGATGCAAGAGAATTTTCCTCATTTAAATATTTACCATGCAGTAGTTCAAAAAAAAAAAAACATTTACCATGCATAATCTTTTTTTTTTTTGTCACTGAAAATCTTAAATAAATAAGAGGCCCAAAAGGGGCAGCCCAAGAGTGGCTTAATACAGAATAGAGTTTCGAAGGGCAGCTTTTGCCAAAGCATCAGCTTCCCCGTTCTTCTCTCTAGGGATGTGAAAAAAACTGATAGAAACAAATACAGAAGATAGATGGTGAATATCCTTGACGATCCCCATAAGTTCTTTCCTCTGTGTCTTGTTGAGAATTGCTCCAATGAGCGTTAAGTTGTCGGAGCAGATCCAGAGGTTTGAGATCCCCTGTTCCGCAGCCGTGTAGAGTCCTTCCCTGATCGCTAAAGCTTCAGCAACCAAAGGTGAATTGACAAACTCTTGTGTTGTGGATCCCTGCCATGTTGTCTTTCCTGAAGAATCGTTTGAAATCCATGCCAGCCCTGCTCTGAGAAGCTTAGCATCCCACGATGCATCCGTTTTACACACGGAAATCAACGGGGTAAGGTTTGGGAGCTCCTTGATCTTGTTTCTCTCTGCAATCGGATTTACACATTGAGGCTTACCCTTTGATATCTGAGCTTCACTCCATTCTCTAGCAAGGCTTATTCCTCTTGTTGCTACTGTTACAGGATTAGCACTTTCACCGTCGAAAACTAAGGAATTGCGGTCCTTCCAGATCGTCCAACACACCCATGGAAGTATACTGTGAGAGACTCCGGATGGTGGTAGACAGGTTGCAGATCTAAAACGAACCAGGGCTGCTCTAAAATCATCCGTCCCAGCTATGTGAACTGCTTCTTTTAGTGGTACAAACTTCCAAACCTCTTTCGCAAACGGGCATAGAAAGAAGGTATGAATAGGTGATTCAACCTCCTTACATCTTGGACACAACACCTCTGAATTTATTCCCCTTCGCTGTAGGTTTTCACCCAAAGGTAGGGCCTTTTGGATAATCGACCAGAGAAACAAATGCAGCTTAGGAGAGCAAGAAGTTGACCAAACGTCTTTCACCCAGTCAAACTCATCAGCGGCTAGGATTCTTCTCCGTCCTTGAGAGGGGTTAATCTTAGCATTATAGCCTGAACGTGTTGTGTATATTCCTGTTGGCAACGGCTGCCAAATGAAACTGTCTTCTGCTCCACTTAGACTAGGCTTGAGGCACTGGATCTTCTCCACAAACTCCGGTAAAAATTTCTCGACCATTCTTCTATTCCATTTGAGATCGTCAGTGAGTAGGTCCGAGACACGAAGGTCTAGAGCTTCTTCTGGAATAGGACCAAATGGTTTGATATGTTCCTCTAGAGACAGCCATGAGTCTTTCCAGACCTTTGTAGTTAGCCCATTCCCAATCGCCTTGCCTAAGTGTTCCCTAATTAGGTCCCTGCCAAGTAGGATTCCTCTCCAGCCATGAGAACTAACCGATGGAGCATCCACTTCAAGAAAACTTTGTTTGTGACAGTACTTTCCTTTTAGGATTCTTGCTAGTAAACAATCAGGTACTGTGATAATCCTCCACGCAATCTTAGCTAGGAGAGCTTGATTAAAAACCTGAATATCTCTGAGGCCTAAACCTCCTTCCGCTTTTGATCTAGTTAGTCTACTCCATGCTACCCAGCTCATTTTCCTTTTATTTCCTGGCCCATCCCACCAGAACCGAGTTAGGACTGATTGTATCCTCTTATACATGCTGATAGGTAATTCAAAACATGACATCGTGTAGGTCGGGATAGCTGTGAGGACAGCTTTCAACATAGTCAACTTCCCAGCTTTGGAGAGGCATCTCGTAGACCAACTTGCTGCCCTCTGTCTTATTCGGTCTACAATGGCTGTGAAGAGGTCCCGTTTTCTTCTCCCAAAGTGCTCAGGAACTCCAAGGTACTTACCTTCTCCTCCTTCTTTGGTAATTCCTAGAATTGTTTTAGCTTCCTCTTTAACACCAGGAGGGGTTTTGCTTGAAAAGGTTATTGCTGATTTATTCTTACTTATCTGTTGACCCGATGCAGCTTCATACTTTGTTAGTATTTCCAACAAAACATGACAGGAAGTCGATGTTGCAGAGCAGAAGAACATAGTGTCGTCAGCAAAGAGAAGGTGATTAACCCTTGGGCACCCTCTCGCCACTCTGATTCCCTGTAGAGACCTATCAAGTGCTGCATTTTTACATAAACCTGAAAGGACCTCTCCACACAGGATAAAGATGTAAGGTGATAGTGGATCTCCCTGTCTAATTCCTCTGCTAGGCTTGACTAGACCATAAACATTATCATTTACTAGATAAGAATAGGAAACTGTCGAAATGCATTCCATGATCCAGCTTATCCATTTACGATGAAAACCTAGTCTTGTCAAAACCCTTTCCACAAAGCTCCACTCGATTCTGTCATAGGCCTTAGACATATCTGTTTTAACAGCCATTGAACAATGTTGAGTAGCTTGAGAGATCTTTAGGTACTGCAATACTTCGTGAGTAATCAAAACATTGTCTCCATGCATAATCTACAAGTGTATATAATGTGATTGTAAATATATATATTTTTTGGAATGAATGTAATAATTTATTCAAACCAAAAAACTTTTGTACAGTGACTGCCTCTTTGTTTAGAATTTAGATTGTAAATATATCATATGAAAATTATATATATTCACGGTTTCTTACATTTTCATGTGTTTCTTAGAAGATCTCAATCACATGTTTCTATTCTACTAGATATTTTTGGTCTCATTTAAACATTGCCAGGAAATCCAAACTTCACCTTTTTCTTGTATATTTTTTTTTGGGTCACGATGGCTTTCTCTTATTATATAGTATTTATTTTCTTTGCTAACACATTCTCTGAAAAAAACAATATTATTTTTGTCAGTGCTGTATATATAAAGTTATAGCTGTAGAAATTGACTTAGAGGCAAGGATTGTGTCATGATGGTTGCTTGCCATTATATATTCACTTTTCATCATCAGTTTGGGTGAAACTAATATCTCACATGTATTCCATTTACCCCTAAAGTTCAAAAGCTATCATCATCAATCTTCGACTAATCACCTAATTTATTTCCAACGTATAAAATCTTCAAGATCGGTACGTACGTGAGCGGTGAGCAAAATACATTAACTAATCCCTGCCAACACACAGTAATATACACATATTCCACGTAGTTTCATTTTTCTTATATTAATTCTAAGTCTGTAATTGGAGGTTAATAAAAGGAATAGATAGAATTAAAGAGATGATAGTTAATGAAATCCAATGCAATATAATTATTATTCCACTTATTCTGTAACTATTTTGACATATAATCATTTTTCAAATAAATGTTGTTATAATTTTGGGATGACAAAGAGTACATTTTCCTTCTTTTTTTTAATTGTAACCGGTGAAAATTTTGTGTAACAGAAAAGAAGTAAGCATTAAAAAAGTTTCCATTTAAACTTGCTGCATGAACAATTTGAATATACACATACACTGCGTGAAGTGTTTATTTTACCTTCAAATGATTTTGTAGCCTG